TCTGTTACTGTTTGATCCTTTTATCTATCACCTGTTGAAGCCGATATTGATGAGTTTAAGTCCCTCGTCAGAAACCTATCCCTGAAACTATAAGTCCGATCTTGACTAAACTTTTAGGAGATGCTGATCTTGTGAAAGTATGGTGGCTCCATCGAGTATGGTTTGTGAGATGTCGCCACAATAGTGACCAAAATAGGGCTGTTCGTGGATCCCAAATTTCTCACTACCGAACTATTGTGGAACTCGGGCTGATCTTAAATTGACAAAAACACATGTGACTAGAGGCTGACAGAGCTGGATTTTTTATATTTTTAGTTTTCAAATTAATGGTCAGCGTCGAAAATCCAAAATTCAAAAAGGTCTCATTAACTTTGGTAAAGATGTTTTTCTAATCGCAAATTTAGATCAAGTATCAAAAATCAGGCTCTGTCAGTTTCAATTTAAGACCTTCCGGAGCTTTCTGCGAGGTTTCGTTACCAATAAATCGGGGAACTATGAGATGGTGTTAAGTCGCTTTTGAGATATGGTGATGCCAGTATCTGAAGCATGTTTTAGGGCTTTTAGCAGAACTCTCATATCTCGATCGGAGCTGGGAAATATCTCATTTTGATTAGAAATGTTTGCTTCTATTTTTCTATATACTAAATATAATTTTCGATTTGCTTTTTAATTGGAAATTAAAACTTTTTCGAAAAGCCAGCTTTTCAAGGTTTTCAGAAAACTTTCTAAAAACCTCCATACCTCTTCGATGAGGGCCAAATAGCATTGGATCCTGATAGTAGATACTGTGGGCTATCTGATGATGTGTCTAGCTCAATATCGACTTTTCAGAAAAAAATTTATGTTTCTGACTGAGTGGATCATGGGATTAACGTTAACAAATTGGATTTTGAAGGAGGTATAATCATTCGTGATTGTATCTATGTGAATGACAAAGTTCAAAGCCAACACCAGCTATCGATATTTGTCAAGGCATAAAAGAGGATCTTTCGCTCTCGTATATACATTTCTTTCTTCAACTATCCATATATTCTGTGATTCTCAGTGGTGCCAATTTCTGCTGACATTTGGGTGAACGACATTATGGTAGAGATATATTATTTTAACGACAGACACAATCGTGCTGGTCGAAAAAATTTGTTGATTCTGATAAGAATCTTATTGGTTTCTTACTAATTGTTTTATTTAAAAAGTTGCGCGAAAACCATAAGAAATTCACTGATGCTGGTAAGAAAGGAGAGGGGCGTACTTGATCAGAAAATAGCCTCATGTGTTTTTTGCCCAGTTTGACTTGAGTTTTGTAGAAAAACCATTTGTACACGTTTTGTAATTTTACTTATGGAAGATAAGCTCAAAATACATTTTTAACGTTGATTATTCTGAGATTCCATCAGCCTGATGGAAAATATTGAAAATATGGAAAAACTGATAGTTTTGAAAACTTCAGTATTCACACAAACCTTGATATAAAAAATAGGCAGTGAAAATAACTCTTGAAATCTCTACAATATTTTGGGTAAACAACTCTGCATACCATTGGCTCAGTCCATTATAATTCAAATACGAGAAAAATCAAGGAAATGCAGTCGTAGTTCGCAATTTTCATCAAATTTCAATTTTTTGTCTAAACCAACATCATATTTGGAATCACTGTTAAAAGCTGCATTGAACAATCGTTCTTTCGAAAATTTTAGTCACCTTTGATTTTTCAGCAGAAATCTCGGTGAAAAAATTCGAAAATGATTAAAGTCGAAGCTTTCAAGTCATATAATCGGCAGTGGTCTTCTAATAGACAATGCTCTTCTGTTATGAGGGGGTTGTCAAATTCTTTTTTCGTGATTACATGGTATCGATCGTTTTGCTCTGTCCATCAACAATAATAGGGCATGTCTCTCTTTCGGTGATAAGGGAAAAGGCTAAAATGTTTCTCTTTCGAATAAAATAGCATAAAATAGCTTATAATAGCTGATTTATTCCGAGCATACTGGAAGATGACGTCGTGTTTTGAACTGAACAGTCGAATATCAATGATATAAGATGCAGGGTGATCAAAATAAAACTTTCCCCTTTTGTAACGGTGTTTCTATAGCTTTAGAATTTTTATTTTTGATCCGATTTATTAAATATGAAATCTGTGCTAGAAAAAAATGATCTTTACTGTTGTTCAACTCCTCTCTAAACATTCAATAGCAAGGATGAAACAGTATTTTGACTGTAAATTTTCAGAATGTACTCATAAGTGTTCACAGCTTAAGTAACATATAAATCATTTGGAATTGTTGATACTATTACAGATATGTTCATACAACAACAGTATTCCATATTTTGCATAAGAAGGTGTATGGTATAAATTTCGCTATTTTACCACTTGAATTAGCTGTAATCACGGTTAATCATGTTCAGTAGAAAGAGCTCTTAAATGACTACAAAAATATGCCTAAATGATTGATAAATTTTGCTTCTTTGCTTGCAAAATGGGAGTAAAGTGAGACCTTGATTTTCCGCGGTTCGGGAGTTGTATCAGATTTCCGATGACTCCCAGAACTGGCACCCGGTGACTCTTGGTATTCTTAAAGACCGATGGACTGTGGATAGTTGATCATGCTGAGTCTTGTGCCAATATTTGTTTGTAGAAAAAGTTTTAAAAATCTACCGAAAATTAGGGTTTTCAGGCTGTTTTCATCCAATATTAAAAAATCACTCTTCATTCAAAAAACATCAGAACAAGCTCGAAACCTCAGAATACGATTAATGTAGTCCGCTAAACGTGATAATAATATCGAAAAAATTGAAAAACATATTTTTTTAAATAAATTTTCCAGAAATCCTTTTGGAAAACCTTAAGGTTTTCTAAACTCTATTTCGAGATTTTCTATAAACAGGATATAGAGTAGCTTGAATACTCTACATTCGAAAGTTTTGAACTCCTTCTGATGTTTTTTGAGTGAATAGTGAATTTTTTAATATTAGGTGACAACAGCCCGATAACCCTAATTTTCGTAAAACTGGCTTTTCGGTAGATTTTTAAAACTTTCTCTACAAACAAATACTGGCACAAGACTCAGCATGATCGACTATCCACAGTCCATCTGTCTTTAAGACTATCAAGAGTCACCGAGTGCTAGTCATCGGAAATCCGATACAACTCCCAAACCGCGGAAAATCAAGGTCTCACTTTACTCTGATTTTGAAGAAAACACCCCGGGCTATCAGCCTATGAAAAGAAATCAATACACGCCCATGTGAATTCTAGAAAGCGCAAGTTAGTTTTCCAAAGATCCTCGTAGTTTGATGCCGATAGTAGAAGAAAATAGAATACAGATCATTATGTGCAGACAAAAGAAGAAAATAGCATCTTACAGTGAAGTCTCGCTCCAGAGCTCCAATACAGTGTTCTACTAACTTTGTGTAATGTACCTGTTTTATCGTTCTAGGCTCCGCATCGACCCCAGGTGGACAGCAAGTGGTCGGCCTTAAGGTGTTCGTGTCAGGGCTAAACGATCCTGTGAAAATAAAAAGATCTTTAAAAAATAACCAAGAAATTACGCGAAATTCTTTTTTCCATTAATAAAATACAACTCGACAACCACAACAAACTTCAAGCCAACAGCGATTGTCTGACAGCGCCTTTTTGGCTTCCTAGTGAAAGTGTGCCGTTCCAGCATAGACTTCATATTTAATAAATCTTTTTTAGTCTCTGCTTACGACGAAATCTTTTCAAAAAATATAAACAGTTCTACTCTCTTTCTGTCGCAAAAAGAATTGGATCAAAAACTGAGTTCTAAAACTATCAGAAGACCATTACAAAACGGGATAAGCTTTTTTGGACCGCCCTGTATCATGAGTCAAGTAGAAAAGGAGTGAACAAGAACAGTGTCGAAAGAGGAGAAGTTACGAATATATCAATAAGTCAGAATTTATATATTTTCAAAGGAAATTCTTTCCGTTTTTTATTATGTATTTGCATTCTTTCTCTGTTACTTTCCTTCCTACCTTTTTCGTTTTTTATTGGCTAGACAGAACGATAATAATGGGGCTTTGCTCTCTTTTGACCTGATTTAGTTATAACTATTTGTCTCATCAATAAATAAATAAAGTTTAAAAAAAGAAAAGAAAAGTCTTAAGAGCCATGTTCATCCCCTGATTAGATCATTACATCTCTGTACTATTTTCTTGTGTTCTGTTTATAAAATACGCACTGTTTGTACAGTTCGATTTCAAGCCGTTTGACTGTCAGATATGGGATCGCACATCAGCAGGTGAATTTGGCTCTTGCCGGCGGATCATATATTAAGAATAACACTCACATGTTGAGGTATTATAGCGCATGTGAGACGAAGAGCCTAGTCATAAGACTACCAGGAAATCTCACGCTAAATCTAAACAAATGAAAGGAAAGTTCAAACTTATTTTGAGAAAGATACTGTAAAGTTAGCCTAACGAATGGAGAAAACCATAATTCTCTTACTAATCCTCAACTTTTCAAACACGAGCAGTAGATCGGGTAATGGAAAGTAGTTTACATTACGTTAATACAAGAATAAACCAAATTAAGAGAAGAAGCAGAACAACAACTATTCAATCTTTGTTGTTATCGTGAAAAAGAACACAGAATCTCATGTAGTTAACGGTTGAGAAACCTAGTTCTACAGATTATTTAATATGCCTAACACTTCTTTTGATATTATATTCGATGGGATAGGATAATCTAGCATTTCTAACCGTTAACTTGAGAATAGAGAGAGCTTTATTTTTACTGTTCATTTTATTACTGTTTTAGGCTAAATATTGTCCTCTTTGCGACTGCTCGGCAGCTGCTTATTACGCAATCGATAAAAACCTTAGTTTGGTAGCTATACAACACATTCGAACAGGATGACAATAAAACAACACACCTACGTTCTTTCTCAGTATTCGGTGGATATATGAGAATATGACCAACTGTCTTAGTGAAGGTATAAGACAAAAAATATTATTTGATTATTTTCTTAAATCAGAACATGTTTGTCTTCTACGCTTTTCTCTCTTTACTTGCTCTCGCATCGGCTGCAAAGCCATGGGAAGAAGAAACTCGTGAACAATGGTGGTTCGATCGTCATAATTCATTTCTACAACAAACACAGTCAAATCCAAATGGTATTCGAGTTGTTTTTCTTGGAGACTCAATAACGGAAGCATGGCTATACGGTGCAAGAAGTATTTGGGATCAGCATTATGCTTCGCGTGGAGCGGTCAATTACGGTATCGGCGGTGATCGTACACAACATATACTTTGGAGAATTCGTAATGGAGAATTGACTGGCTTAACACCAAAACTGGTTGTGTTAAAAATCGGTACAAATAATTTGGGTGGTGCAACAGAAGATGAAATTGCTTTAGGTATTCAAACAATTGTTCAAGATATTCGACGCATGCTACCTCAAACACGTATATTATTATTAGCTGTTTTACCGAGAAATAATGTTCAGTGGATTAGTGATGCTGTGACACGGATAAATACTGCTATATCAAAATTCGATGATGGTTATTGGATACGCTATCTAGATATGACTTGGGCGTTTCAAAACTCACATGTACAGGTTAAACCTGAACTATATGATCCTGATCTATTACATTTAGCTGTACCAGGTTATCAAATGTGGTATCAGACAATGGAACCACTCTTCTTCGACATGCTTAATTACTAATTAGATCAAGTGGAATGTTATTTTTAATGAAATATTTCATATCATTGTGAACAATTATTCAACTAATAACGGTTTCTACTTCTAGACTTATTGATATGTCCCCTTGTTGATGATATTAACTCAGCAGATTTGTCATATCATGTGTATCGAGAAACTATATGCGAGGACTTGATAAACAGACATATTAAAGAAAAACTGCATTCTATGATAGAGATTTCCCTACTTTTTAATAAAGATAAAAGTTTACTACCTGACGAAGTATGATTACTGATGTAACAGTTATTCACACAAGAAGAATTGCGATCAATAAGTTAAAATGCAGCGTGTTTTGATTAACCGTTCAAAGTTGTATCGGCAAAATGGTTGAAGAAAACAAAAACAGCTAATTTGTGCTGCAAGATTAAGTGGGTAAGAATAACAGATAAAGATAGCTAATCTCTACCGAGTCCCCTAAAAGAAGGTTTATGATATATCACATTTGTAGAGAAAGAAAATCGAAAAAAACAGTAGTAGTTCTACTTCGCCGTCATTTATGATTCATTACAAGACAAAAGTATTATGAACTACTTCAGTTTATAGAAAAAATCCTGCCTTCTGGTACTCACATCAACAAGAAATCAAGGTGCGAGCAATGTCCATGTCGTTCGGTGGATCTAACGAACAGTTTTCATACAGCAAAAATGTATACACATTAGCAGGGCTGGGCAACTCTAACTCCGGAGCTGAGGATCTTTTTCGTGGAGTGGGAGTTGGAGTTGGAGTTGGAGTTGAGATTTTAGTAGGTTGGAGTTGGGTGAATATTTGTTCTCAACTCCGTTTTGCATTTTTGAAAATATTCAATAGCTGTAAGCTGATCTTCTAACCGATTGAGTAGCTGTATTCACGAGTAAATTCGGAAGTTCTCTGCGTTTTCCTGCCGAAAAAAGCTCAAAAACGTCCAGAATCCTGCTAAAAACCGAAAAATCTTCCGTACAAAAGTGAAGCAACCGGAGTTGGACTGGAATTGAGATTTTTGTTGATAGAGTTGGAGTTGGAGTTGAAAAATTTTAAGCGGAGTTGTAGTTGGAGTAGGAAATTTGAAAACGGAGTTGAGTTGGAGTTGAAAGTCAGCGGAGTTGCTCAGCCCTGTACATTAGGATGCTTTCACGCAGCTCTATCGATATTTACATGACCAAGAACCTGACACGATCTCAATGTGTGCATATTTAGCCCGCAAAAAACTACATATATCCTCATCTTTGTTTTTTAAACAATCCATGTAGAACTTGACGGAAAATATTCCCAGAAAACAACTTTTAGTAAAAATTCCTCTAGGTAAACTCGCTTTCGTGGCAACAAAAGATTTTCTAAAAGATCTGAGAGAGCCATTCGATAGATCTTGAAAATTTGTCTGTAGAATCAGGTTTCAAGAATACAAGCTGTAGCTTCGACCTGCGCCGTTTGTGAGTTACTAATTACGACAAATGAGCGAAAACTGTAGTTTTGGAACAGAAGTTAGTCAACATGTAAGTAAGGAACTTTTATTTTTTAGTCAAAACATAGCTTGAACATTGATCTTTTCAATAGTAGAAATTCGAGTTCAGTATCATTTTTCGTTATTGAGTTATTAGATCGAAAAGGTGATCAGGTTTTCGAAAATTGTCAACTTGAGGCCTGATTTTCTGTAAAGTTTCCCGTTAGAGTATTTTTGAGAACCTTTTGCACAAAGACATCTCAAAATTATTCTAAAATGTCATGTTGCAAAATGTGTATGACTTATAACCTATTTCATACATTTTTAATTGTAACACATTCCATATCAGCGAATAATTTCTTTAATCAGATGACAAGTCCAGTACATCTTGACCCATTGACTGTCGCAACAAATCGTGGTGTTGAACGAGACTCACACTTTACAGTTTTGATTACACCTCCAGTTCTAAATCCGCTATCAACTTTCACATCTGTTTCAAAATATGCTACAGCAACGAGAAGTACATATAGACAACCATATTTCGAAAGTGCAGTGGTGTCTATTTGTTTTCCTTTTAGAACTAAATTTGTCTTTACCTAGTGGAAGTGCATTCGGACCATGTGATTACGAAGGAATTGGTAAGAAGTTGTAATGAAAAAAATAGCAAATAAGAGTTCTCACTGGAAAAGGTTAAGACTATCTGGTAGTTTATTTTTAATTTCTTTTGTCCTTAGATCAAAAAATATTTTCTTTGTGGGAAGATTTAATTAGTGTAAAGCAATGAATATTACTAACGAGAATAAAATTATTTTGGAAATTCAAAACCAAATTCATGCATTATTGATATATAGCATGTGACTGATTGTTCAAAACTCTGAATGATGGTAATATTGTTAAATTACTCTATGCTCATAAACGGTTAAAATTTGGAGGTAAATCAACAAGTTTACGTGCCTTCTCTAATCATTTACAAAAAATGGGTCTACTCCATCTCGGCGTGAAGGTACTTATGTATTGTTATCAAATATTTCTATCTATTTAAAATTGTTGTTAAAAAATGCGTTGGGTGATGACATTATAAAGATAGTTTTACCGTCTTGCGAAACAGCAACACCAGCATTACAGCAAAAAGAAGAAGGAGATGATTATCAATTAATGGATAAAGTCATAATTAAAACTGTAGCGACAATTCGTGATCAAATCAAATTAATGAATAATAATAATAATAATAATCCTGTTAATCGTTATGAACAAGCATCTAATCTAAAAACACTGACCCCTGAAGAATACGAACAGCAACTGCCAAAATTATTATTGAATTTTATCATATTGTGCACGATGAATAACGATGAGTATGATCAGTTCTTATACAATGATGAGTTAGTGGATTTATATGAAAATGATATTGTTTGTGATTCAGTCAAAAAGTTGAAACAAATGTCGATTTTGCTATGACATCGTAGCGTGTAAAGATCGTTTACAGTTTAATTCTAAGCATATTTTATTGGCACTATCAGTTTATAAATTATGTGGATGCCGCAGTGTTATTGATATATTGAATAAGTTTGATAATACAGCGTCTTACGACACGATCCAACGTTTTTTAACATCTATATTAGGGGTGTTAATTTAGTTTTATTTTTCATTTATAATAATGGATAAAACTAAATGAATCATTTATACTTAAAAAATAAATATAAATAAATGAAAAAAAAATTATCTTTATTTTATAAAAGTAAATGATCCATTTATCTTTATTTTATAAAAGTAAATGATTTCCAAAGTAACACTAAATTAACACCCCTAATCTATATGTGAAAATGAATATAATGGCGACGGTCTACCCGTAGCCGTTTTGAGAAACACGTTTTTAATCAAAGTAGTAGACAACTGCGATCTTTTAATTAACTCTTTAGATGGAAAAAGAAGCATTCATATCATTAATCAACTGTATATTCCTCCAAATCCGCCAGTATCAGGTAGATTTGTATTCATTTCGGAGGAAGTTTCTTGGATCAATTATGTCCTTTTAAGATAAATTGTATAGTTAATGCAGCTATGTGCAATGTCAACGTTCTTTTACGTTACGACAATATTTCAACCTGTTGAAGTGAGGGTGAGGATGAGCCTGCTGAGGAATACTTTAGCAGCTCCTCTGCTACTTAGCTGTGCTTTAGAAGCTTAAAGATCAAAAGTGATTGTCACTTTCTGGGTTTCGATTTAGGTCTGGAAAATGCGAATGTTTTGTATAATCCGACAGTTGTGACTGGAATTCTTGGTGTATACAACGTGGACCGTACATTCCGAGCTTATTTATTATTATTTACATCTTTGTTCGTATTGCAATTAGAAGAATTTAGTGTCGAAAATCCTTTTTATCATCCTGTGTTAGAAAACATTTTGAAAATTATGAATTCTACGTTGAACAATATGTCAGTGTTTGTCAAAGACCAAAGTAAGCAACAGATGAATTACGATGAATTTGATACAACTATACAATTAGCTATACAATTATGAAATTTCATGAATATCGTGGAAGATTACCAACAATGGAGACAAAAGCAATCAATAAAAAGTTTCCCGACTGTCAGTCTCTTTGTTCTCTTAAAATTCAGCTTTTTCTTTAACATAGCTACTATCTGTTCCTAAGAGCAAGACCGGTCATTATTTTTTCAATAACTCGAAGGGAACACAAGATCAAGACTTACGGCCTTCGCTGTTCGATGGCCAAGACTTGAAGTTATCATTCTACCGTTATTGAATCAGTCAAAAAGAAAGAGGTTAACTGGACTTTCATTCAGAAATGGTGAAAAAAGTGTCTCATCTTATAAAGAGGTCAAACCTAAACATGTAAATTTGCATCACACAGTTGCCACTAGTCAACGTTTAGAGTACTTCGTTCTTCTCAACATTTCTAAAAAAAGCGATTGTCCTAGTGTCTCGATTTTTCTTAGCATAATTACATTTCCATCCGTAGTGAAAAAGTTCTGTTTCTTTCATCTTTCCCAATGTAAAGTTAACGTTGCACGAGTTCATTTATAATGTCATCGTTTTCCTCCTATTTACTCTTGACACCATTAAATTGCCATTTCTCCGCATTTCTTATGTTAAGAAGAAGCTGGCGTCATCAGACTTCAGCGTCAATAAAAAACCATTTTAGTATATGGTCTGCGTTTCATCTAAAACTCCTGGTACGATAACATTCGTTGAGCGAAAGTACAAAATTAAGAACAAAATTTCAGGACTTTTGCGACCAAGATTATACGATACTAACCTTGCCAATTTATGATGAAATTTAATGGAAATCATATGATAAATAAAAGAATTTCTCGAATTGTAGTCAATTTTTCGATCATAACGCTACTTTAAGTGAAAATAAAGAGTATATTCATGAACAGCCGAAAAAACTGATTAACAAAAGCGGTTATGGAACACTAGAGGGGATACACTTTTCCCACTTTTGTTCGCTCGTGCGTCGCCGAAAAGTTACAGAGAGAGGCTAGATTCTTTCAACAACCAGTTTTACTTCCGTCTTTTACGTTGTTCCCGAAACAAGTTGAATTGGATAGTTCAGACCTCGACTAGTACAAAACATCCAAAAGCTACAGTCACTGTTCATGGACACCTGTCCATCGAATTCAGTCTTTATTGAAAATAATAATAGTAAGAAGAAGCAATAATCTTTAGTTAAAATAATAACAGCGTATAAAGAATACACCGTCATTAAACAAATGTCGTCATACATTTATTACTTTTGTAGAGAAAACAAAGTACACAAATACTTTAGAAGTGAAGATCAAATTTTTCATAAGCAATTCACTGTCTCATTCCCTATCTCGCAAAGATTTTTAGTATTCAAAGTGTTTTAGTGTTAGCGTAGAGCTTCACGAATTCTACAAATATGCCAACTGTGGCAACTTTCATGATAAAAAAATGAGAATCTATTATTTTTATCGCAGACGATAGTTATCATACTAAAGTGGCAGAAAAAAGTCTAAAGGCACTTCTCTCATAGTCCTTGATTTTCACATTCAAGAAAAAAACATAATTTGTAGGAAAGAAATGACAGCGCCTATGATGAATAAATGTCAGTTAACATTAAATTGTGTCGCTATAAATTGGCAGATTCTGGGAAATTCTGCTGAGACTCTGCTAGAATCTTGGTGTTTGAACTGTATGTGTTTGGAGTAGTAACTCGAATGATTTTTCGTTCGTTTTTCTAAACTAAAAAGAGTACGGTAGTAGATCTGAGAAACTATGTGTAGTAATTGTACTAAATTTTTTTTTAAAATACCTTTTGGAAAAGTATTTTAATAATTACGAAAGTAAATGGCTTGCGGAAAAAGTAGATGAAATTTTTAAAGTATCCAAAATACCTTAAGTTTCGGTCTCATGACTCAACAGGATTTTTCATTTTTCAGCGCAATCAGCACTTTGTCGATTATTGGAGTTTTTTTGATTCGTAACGGCTAGTACTGAAGATCCAATCGTTCCTTTTTCTCGTTATTAGTCAGCGCAGACAATCATAGAAACCGTCTGCAGTTTTTGATTCCAGTTGAATTGCATATTTTGAAGATTCATTGTGAGATTTAGATTGTTTTCAAGATTTTTAGTATCACAGGACAAAAGTATGAATATTTGTTAACATAGCTTGTCTCCTACACTTTATCTGAATTATAAAGACGGTCTACAAAAACACTTTACGGTACAAAATGCACGTCTTAATCTTTTATGTTGAAACGAATTACTCCTTTTTATTGTCAATCGTATGCATAGCACTCTGCTTCCAGGATGAGAACTAAGATAAATTTCCAACTTCTTTCAAAAACAAAATTTGTTGTTTGATGACTCTCTCTCTCTGATATCAAATTAAAAGATTTACTTGATCGGCATAGAGAAGGAACAATAGATAATGTTCAGCTTACTATTAAATGTGGCCGAGCTGTTAAATCAACGCAGTTTATCGAACTTGTACAATTTTCTATCACGGCTCCGTTTTACTTATAATTAATTAAAGTTATTTAATTTATTCTATGCGTATACATGAGCGACGAAATGAAAACACAATTAGGGGCTTCATGCAAAATATATCTTATCTAGAAATATCGTTTTTCTCTTTCGCGAGTCTTTTGTACCACTTACATACCGCCTCTTTGCACTTTCGACTAGAGTATGAAAAATTATGTTTTGATTTCCTTTTCAATCTCAAGTTGTCAAGTTCTGAATTGGTTTCGAAGAACAATTGATCAAATTTAGTTAATACTTTCATATACTCAACGAATTTCTTTTATTTTCTAGAACATACTGTTCTGAATAACACTTTACAAGCGTATATTAGTGTAAAATGCGACTTTTTATTGTTAAGCAATAACTTAAAACTAACTACATCATTATACACTGTGACTGTGATTGCGCTTCGAACAGCATAGAATTTCAAAATACTAGCAAACGCAGTCAGCCATGATATTTTGTTCTCACTATGTTCGACCTGGTAACGAAGTAATATAGGCAGATAGATATAAACATTTCCCTTTTTCCGCAGAATAAATTTGGAGAAAAAAAACTTTGACAGGTCGATATAGGTCTATACTAATGAAACAGCACTGCTAACTAAATAGAGAATCTTTATCATATGTCTTTTTTTTTTGAATGCCAATAAGATGGGAATTATATAAGAATCTGTATTAGTGACGATAAGTATAGGATGGAGCTTTGGTCACAATGCCATTATCATCTGTGACGACCACAACACGTAATGGATCAAGCATTCTGTTTTCCATACCATTTTTTGCATTATAAGGATGTAATTCTATGATAAAAGAATTAGATTTCAGTTAGAATAGGAGTATTATTTATGATTATACTTACGACCGTCAAATTGTAGTATTGTTTGGGATGCTTGGTCGAACGACTGACCGACTAATTCTGGCCATTCTTGTCTTTTAGTGTCAGACATGATTCACTCTTATGATATATAATGAAAAAAATTTCTCAATAAGTTTCAGCGAAAAATATTATACTATTACAAAACCCGTTATAATCTGTTGTTTTGTATTCGGTGCATGTGTATATATGTCTTTTATACTAAATCGTTTTATTTTATAGTATAGAACATTTTTCTTATTTTTTCTTTTATTCTTTTTTTTTTGCCGTTAGTAATAGAGTCAGAAAGAAAGAGAGAGAGAAAAAAGAGGTAATAACTACTTGCCTCCATCTCCTCGTTACCAGGTCTTATATAAAACGAACAAAATATCATGACTAAGCACGTTTTTTGATTATTATTTTGAAATACAAAATAAATTTTGCACTGTTCGACACTGTAACTATTAATCATTATCATGTACCTTTTGAATTATTGCTTAACAGCAGGAGACCACATTTTAAAGTTTATATGTGTACGACCAACTTTGCAATAAAATTAAATTTACCAGAGAAGACACATTTCTACTTTTTATGCTAATTTCGCTTCCATTTAAATAATTTTCTCTAATTTTAGACTAATGCAATAACTCACAGGAAGACTTTTCAAATTATAGCACAGTCCATAACCAAAATTTACTTTCTACTAGTTTGTGTACAATCTGAGAGCTGAACAGCGAACGAAATGAAATTTGTTGGTTACTTGGTTACTGATATTTTATAAGCCTATTATTTTAATCACTTACTTGTACTCTATCCTGATTACTACTAAAAACTGTTCTCGTTGTGCAACACTACTTTAAACAATTTATTCTTAATCCAATAACCACGCATGAATAAGATAGAATGTGTGCTGTGTAGAGTTATTGATATAAAATCAGTTGTAAGAATACTTCCACTTACAGTTAATTTGAAATAAATTACAAAAGCAATTAAAATATGATTCACAATCGAGTAAAATTGTTCTTCGCTAATGATAGAAAGGTTCCAATTGATAGCATTTTGAAATAGAGATACAGAAGAAGCTCAAAAGACTTTAACAGTGTATATCGAATCGAGAGACGTCATTATTCCTACAAGTCTTTCTGACATCGACAATACAATGGATGCATCGGCTTCGCACAACTTTTAACGACGCTATTTCTTCTATTACTCTAGACAATATTTTAACAGCTGTTATTAATACCAAACCTGAAACAGTTTGATTTGTGTATTGAAAATAATGGTTTAGCTGTGGAGATCAATTATAAATACCTTACCTCATATCTAGAACATCTTGTTGGCTATAATAGCGATACTCCATTGCATTTTAATTGTACGTCTGTTGATATCTGTACATTTCTGTTTGGCCAACTGAGGTATTAGAATAGTTTACCTTCTTTGAAAAAGGAAATTACGCTTAAGTTTACTAAAAATAGCAAAGACTCTACAAGTTATTGTTAGAAGGAACAGTGTTGCTGCTCTTAGAACTCTTCGTAAACAAAATAACTCCAGGTTTCTTTTTCCTTGTGTCCTTCCACTGTATTTCAACTTGTTGCTGTTTCACAATGCAAGAACATCCTTCCGATATCAATAGTACTACTATCCATTTCAAATTAAACTACGTCGGAATCGAAAGATGTACTAATTTTATCTGCGCTATATCATAGACTTCAGCAGAGCTTCTAAAAACCATCTGAGAATACTTTGGTTTTTGAAATTTTTTTCTCCCGAAACCTTCAGAAGTAAGACAAGATTTTTTGCTACTCTTAAGCAAAGAATCCCATTGAACAGATAAAATAGAGTACATCTGGATATTCTGACGTAGTTTACATTGATTTGACTGACGAGGGAAGGTCCCCAACTGTCCGATCGCTTTCGAGTCGAAACCTAGTGAACTATAGGTAGTCGACCAATATGACCAAATGCCCTAAATTAATTTCTTCTTATTTCTGTAGCTTTGAGCTAACAATGAACATTTAGGGCTTTTCTTGTAAATTCTATAACTTTGCAAAGAAAGGTCATGTAGAGCTGGGAGAGGTCTCATTTTAATC